TGGTTGGTCCCCTGGGGGAGGGAGAAAGACCCAAGTGCCATCAGTATGTGTGGCACGTGTTGTGAGCTGCCTTTGGAGTGAAAATCTTGTCAGCGCCTTCTAGGTTCAGCCTGGTCCCATAGCTCAGTGGTTAGAGCATTGCTCATGACAAGCAAGGTCCCGGGTTCGAGTCCTGGTGGGTCTGGCGATTTGTTCTCTTTTCAGGCAGTTCACTTCCCCAACTGATCCATTGAATTTGAAGTTCTCCCAATCCGTTCAAAATTTATCACTCTCTTTCACTTCTGGTAGGGTCCAGAAACTGACCGTGGTTGGTCCCCTGGGGGAGGGAGAAAGACCCAAGTGCCATCAGTATGGGTGGCACGTGTTGTGAGCTGCCTTTGGAGTGAAAAATTAAATTAATAATAATAAATTAATAGGAAGTGTGAGTTACGAAGTCTGAAGAAAATGTTGAACGGCCTCTGCTGGGATGACGACTACACCATAGCTCAGTGGTTAGAGCATCGCTGGCTTCAAGCGAAGGTCCCTGGTTCGAGTCCTGGTGGTGACAGTCAATTTTTTCTTCAGACTTTTCCCGTTTGTCTCTTTCCCTCAAACCAGTTAATATTTTATGACTTGGGGCTCCCCGCGTGCTAGTTTGTACGTGAAGTGTGTGGGTTACAGTGAGGGCTGCGTCCCACCCGCCTGTGTGGATTCACAGGAAGTGTGAGTTACGAAGTCTGAAGAAAATGTTGAACGGCCTCTGCTGGGATGACGACTACACCATAGCTCAGTGGTTAGAGCATTGCTGGCTTCAAGCGAAGGTCCCTGGTTCGAGTCCTGGTGGTGACAGTCAATTTTTTCTTCAGACTTTTCCCGTTTGTCTCTTTCCCTCAAACCAGTTAAAAAAAAAAAAAAAAAAATTTCACGGTTCGCGTGAGACTCGGCCAAAGGCCCAGTTTTCCGCATCCGCAGGAACGCCACCACCCTCTTGGATCAAGGCGCAAATGCAGCTCCTAAACGGTGGGAGGTGAGTAGATCAGACCCACCACAAAGTGGTCAAAGACCGAAATCCCATTCACTGCATCCATGTTTCCCTCGTGCCAGGCCACGAGTTCCCAATTAACTGTGGGTCGCAGCACGGCTGGAAAAAATCCTTCCGCTTCCAAGCAGGACTTGAACCTGGTACCCTCTGTTTCTCAATCATGGTCTTAGACCATCCCACTATGCCTGCCTGCCACTAAACCAGTTAAAGTTAATAATAAATTAATAATATATTAATGTAGGAAACTGTTGACGAATAGTGTTGCAGCTCGCGTAAGAGCGCTTCTGTGTGATGAGGTCCAATCAAGTTGTCTGACTTCTGAGACACAAGTACCGAGTGGACGAGGGTCAGCTATTCGTGCTCAAGCAGAGGGTCTAGAGAGGAGAAACACCGCAAAGAACAAAGCCATACAGTTCGGGAAGATTTGATGAATTCAACAAAATCATAGCATGCCAATATTCTTCAAAGTTATTAACAGATCCGGATAAAATATTTTGCTGTATCAAGGGGGCTCTGGAAGGGTGATGAACATATCCATATCTACATTGTATACATGTATGTAATGCTGCTAGAAAGAACTTACTGATCAATGTCATCATCATCATTTAGTGGAGTAGTATCATCAAGGGAAACAGCGGACATTGGCAGCTGTTCATCACCAGCATCTTCACTGCAGTTAGAGCATGGTTCTGTTGAAGCATGGTGACAGCCGCAAGCATCTGTGCATAGCAGCCTATGACGGCGGCACGAGCAGCGCCCTCCAGTACACCCAGTCTTGCAACCACAACTAAGAAATTCCTGAATGGAATGCGGGGCAGGTGGCAGACTGACCCAATCTATTCTTAACGTGCCATCGCCTGTAAGACACCAGCCTACATATCAAACCAACACAAATCCAATATCAAGAACAGTAATCAATATAAGAACAATTAACAAGCAGCATGCACATCACTGTATCAAAATACAACACCTTTCGCAAAGACAGGCAGGAAATGCATAGTATGCAGAAAAGAAGATTCCTTACCATGTCCATTCTCATGTGGTAGAGGGATAACTGGACAGGGCTCAAGACACCGTCGCCAAATAGCAGCCTGATAGTTTGCACGGGCGCTATGCTTCACAAGTGCATCTCGGCATGGTGGAAGCTGGTTGTGCATTCCTGGTGCAGAACAGCTCATAGCGGGCGCTATTAACGCTAGAGCAATGGGGTACCTTGTAGTATGCACAAACAAACTTCTCCAGGGCGGCTAGGCTTTCTGTCGACAATGACTGAAACTGCTTCCCAACGCTGGTGAATACTTCTCTAGCAGCTGCGCCGGCCACTGTATCACCTTGCACAATACTCAATGCTGCCTTTTTCCCACGATATGCAAAGGCACTTGTCGTATCACACCCGGTGAATGCATGGAGGGCGGGGAGAGCTTTGCAAACGTCCATGCCCAGCTTCTCACTGACAGCCTTCATGTCAATTCGCCGAACTTTGGCACCAGTTCCGGTGAGGAAGTAGAGCTGTGCTGGTATGGCGTGGCTGAATGCAGCAGCGAGAACAGCAACATCTGTGTCAGGCGACTTGATAGTGACAGACGCACAACCTGATGAGGCAGCATGCTTGGCATGTAACAATAGACGAGTGTCTGCTTCTTCGTGATTGCACTCCAAGTTGTTAACTGGGATGCCTGCAAGGAAAACATAATAGTAAAAGGAATTATGCCTCAATTAGCAAACATGAATACATGCTTCTAAGCCATAATTATACCGGCATGAGTGAATGCTACTGTGGCAGTTTCATGACATACACCAGACTATCTATCAGTGGAATGTGCTCAACTTTCCAGCATTCACAGTCATCAGACAGGACATCTGTTCTCGTGCCTACTAAATGCATTGCACCACTTACATTCTGTTGTTGAAGAATGTGATGGAATCATAGCACAAGAGCGGCTTGCTGTAATCACCAGTATCTCTCCTGGAGGTAGACGACGTACGAGATCAGGACGCTGCCATTGGGTGAAGAAGAAGTTGAGTAGCTCTTCTTTGTTTGCACCAACGGCGAGATACTTCGAAAACTGGTGAGGAGTACGTTGCTGAGGACTCGATATGTGTTGCCGTAGAGCTCCTTGAGCTGACCGTGCTGTTCTCTCAAGGTTCTTAATGGACACATCACGATAGGTATCAGCAATGAAATCCACACGTGAATATGTTGCGAAGTGCTTGCACATCTGGGTGAACGTGGATTCAGCGAATTCACCAAACGTAGCAGGGATATCACTGAGCTTTCTGGCTCTGAGCATCGCCATGCCGTCTAGCATCAGTGCTCCGCTGGAGGTGCCAACAGCTGCTGGTTGAGGCATTCCATCTGTCAGTAGCGGGAGTAATGATGACTTGCTCGTCTTGACCAACGTACCGGAAGGCGTGGCTAGTGCCCATGGAACAGGTCCAAGTGGATAAGAAAACACTTCCCGCATGTCCATATGACGTGTCTGGGCAATCAAGGCAATGCGAGAAAAGGTAGCACGGTCAGAGCGGAGAATTTCTGTAGAATGGCTTGTGGCGCTCTTCTTACTCTTCTTCACACTGAATGTAGACAAGTTGAGTTTCTTCAATGGGTCATGGAATGCTTTGGTGGAATCGCTGGTAGTCAACCGGTCCCGGATGAACTCCTGAAAACGCGTTCTCCCATGGTCTTCCGCTTGGAGAAGATCGCTGGCTGTTTCAGCAGATGCTTCTATGGCGGAGGAGAGGTGAGTGAGTCTTGAGTAGGGCTGCTTAGAGGCAGGCAGAAATGGGTTGAAGAACTTGTACAATGTGTCAATGATTTTCAGGACATCGTTCTCATCACGCGTCATCCGTCCGGCCTGTTTCTCTTTGTGCAAAGTGTCGCCGTCCTCAGTTGCACCATCCAGCCCACAATGCTCCATGCACACATCAGTGATAGCTGCCCGGTCATGCGCTGTGAGGACCCAACGCTGTACTGTTGCCGGATGCCGATGATACCACCTGTGGTTTTTGTCGCACAATTGATGGTCTGCTCGATGGCTTGATCAGCAGGGACTGATGCAAACGCATTCCGGGACCGCTGAACACAGAAACCACCTTGTCGCAAGAACTGGTCCACATCAGGATGGGTGGCTGGAAGATGAATCATCTGTAGCCAATAAAACGACATGAAGCGTGCATAGTTTTGCCTGTCGTACGCAAAACACCAAGGAAGCATTTCCAAAACGCAGGACAAGTGGAGATCCCAGTTGCCAGTTCTGCTTGCACGGATGAATCGAAGAAGCAGGCCGACCATATCAATATATGATGACCAGAACTTGAAGTTGGGAGAATGTTGTGCTTGACCTTGGCAGAAATCAAGATAGGCCTTGTGCAGCTCTTTAGTGTGCGGTGATTCTGCAACATCCTTCAGGGTTGCAGGCTTAACACTTGACTGCAAGTTCTTCAGTAGCGGAAGCAACTCACTCTTCAAAGCTGCTAACTCGTCTTGACTGGATGCTTCTACAAACTCCTTCCATCGTGCTCGCTCCAGTGCCTCGCACACAATCTTGTGGAAGCGAACGGCCCTGTTGTACTGCTTCCCATCAAGCGCAGATGACGCTGCTGCTGATCCAGCTACACCAGATTCGACCAGAAGGTCCGACAGGCCAGCATCCCGAAACCGCTTCCCAATTATTGCCAGGAAGGTGCAGGAAACATGAAATGCACCCATCCGCAGAACGACAGACGAAAATTCCTCAGGTCGTTGGACAACAATGCCAAGCGCCTTGGCGTATATGGCCTGATCCACGACGACCAGCGAAAATGACATGCCAGCACTCTGACATCTGGCCAAGCACTTAACGAGCACTGCATACACAGTCGAATACTCTGTTGGTGAAGAGTCGACAACTGGGCAATAGCCAACCACAGATTGTGGTGGAGGCGTGGATGAAGTTGTTAGAGCATTAAAAGCTGACCATGCTGGCACTTTCTGGGGGTTTGTTGAGACTTCAGCCGACACAATTGGTTTCATTATGTCTCCATTGTGGCAGGCCCTAGCCAGCTTCCAGCCAAAATCCACCATTGCCACAGTGTCGCTGGGTGAGGACTGGCTGCTCAGTGTCGCATCTGGCAGTGGTGCATATCGAGGCGGATTCACCTTCGATGTGCATACAATGTCGGCAATCTGCTCTGCTTCATAGCATAGTGCCCGTCTACGCTTTCTGGGCGGCTGCTGCTCCGGTACTTCACCCTGCTGTGGATGACTAGGCTCAGTGTTGTGTTGCAGGCGGGGCTGAACAACAATGGCGTTGGTGCAGTGTGTGGTCTTTTTGCCATCAAGGGTTTCCTCATTCAGGTCATTGTTGTCGACCACATGAAAGAACGGCAGGCTGCTGCCAATGACATCGGGAAGGCTATCAATGTACTGCCCACGACGAACTTTCTCCTCCGCCATGCCCGTTTCATGCTCTAACACTTGGGAGTAGGCGATTGAGTGGCCGAATCTATTTAATATAGATACGAGCCTCTCACTCCGGAACAGATGGTGTACTCCAATGCCGAGGACAACATGTTTGGGTGGGACGACTCTAGTGCCGCAGTACATTATATCCTGGGCAATGGAGCATACGCGGCGGTTGAAGGGGCTGCTCCCGATATCAATTGCGCCCCGTTGCAATGGGACATCGTGGTACATGTCACTGAGGAGCCACACAAGGAAGTTAAAAAGCACGCCTGGAATGCAATCCTTGGCATCACTCAGTGACAGGCCGCTACTTGTCCTCCAATGACCCCGGCAAGCAACACGCAATGATCTTGCAGCATGATAGATGCTGTGCAGCTCCTGCTGGTCATGCGTTGCTTTAGCTGCGGAGTGGCTCGCCTCTTCGACAAAATCCTCGTCGCTGTCTACATTGCGGCCAGTTTTACTTCCATGGAGCCGTGCAATTATTTCACTAGCGCTGCCGGTTGCATAAACAAGTTCCGATCGATTCCGAGCAGATGGGCGTGCGAAAGTGACCGTGTCACCGAATTTGCTGACTAACAGCGCCTTCACTTTATCAGTCCGAGCACACTCACCAACAGCGGACGTGTACTGTGAAACAATTGCGTTCATGCTGAGAACATTGCACTCGTCGAAGAGTTTGACTGCTATGGTCTCAACGGGACAGGCCATTACAATACTCCAAACTTGCCGACTCTGAGTCTTCGAGTGCTTGGTCAGATACCTCCATGGCAGCACTCTTACCAGTGACAGTCGCACTCGTGGCTGATGAGGATTCCTGTACGAGCTTGCACAATGTAGTCTCTCGCACATAATTCAAATAACAATACTTATGATAAAATACTTCACGCGCGATAAGACTGCTGGTTCCACTGATGGCAACCAGGATTCTTTCGTCCTTCCGGATGGCTGCAGCTCTCCGAAGTTTCGCCTCAGCATCCTCCGTCTGGAGCTGTGATGTCGTCTGCTTGCAGGTGCTCTTGGGGACCTTCTTGGACAAGCTACCACAAAAAATGCAATTTCTACGTCCTGGTTCGATCAAGGGAGCTTGAACAGATTGCCGTGTGCTACGTTTCTGCTGCACTGGCGCTGCAGGCTCCTTTTCCGCCATCCTTCTACTCCATGGCAGACACTAGACACGGAAATAAGCGGCCAAAGAAGACGAGCTGTGGAAGAATCTGTCAGCTTTCGACTTTGTTTCGAGTTCGCCAAATTCAAAAATTTCAAAAATCGCCACGTGCATGCACCACGTGCACGGCGGGAAATTATGTGCGACTTTTACGCATGCCCAAAATGTGAAAACACGAGATCTGTGCAGGCACAGAGCGTTCGTCAGCCGAAGAGGAAACCACCCACTGTGAGGCTCAGCACCACCGCACGGACTCAATTCTTTCACGAAGATACCCCCCTCAGCTAGCTCTATCGGTACATGCCAACGAAACTTGGTACCACCCCGGGGGGAACGAAAAATTTTTTTAGACACAGTTCAGCCCTTTGGCCTGCGGACTAAAACATGACACTTTACTTGAACAATTTCAACCCAATTATACTAAGTTATCTTTCTGTACACACAAATTAGGCTTATACAGACGCTGACAGATGGCTTCCAAAACCTTTAACTGTAGTCCATAACCATGACGACCACGGCACAATACAGTGAATGAAGAGTCGGAATACGAATTGCAACAATCAGGACTAGCCAATAGACGATTGTACACTGAAGACTTGCTACCACGAAACCTACGCACAACACTAACATTCTCACCGGCAATCTCGGGATCACTACAATCGTCGCTCTCCGACTCATTGCTCCCTTCACCGTCCGTCCCATCATCTGCTTCCTCTGCGCTCTCCCTGTTATCCCGCCTGACTCTTCATTCACTGTATTGTGCCGTGGTCGTCATGGTTATGGACTACAGTTAAGGGGGCAGCCTACCCATAAATTTTATGGCATTCAATTGACCGTAACTTTGGTGTTTCTCAGTGGATTTGAGTGAAATTTTGACCACACACTCCTGCCACTATGCTGGCCCTCAGGACATGATTTACAAGTTCTTGCGCCTCACTGACAGGCTTTCCAGGCCGGAAAAACTCAAATTTCCGGCATAGTGCTACGGTGTGCGAGCCACCCAGGAGCCAAACAAATGCATTTACATTTTTTCACATTTTCGTGCCCATTCTGTCCGTGCGCGGGATCCAAACCTAAAACAAGTCCAGAAGCAGCCATGGGTGGTGGGGTAGGGCCCCTCAACGTGGCCCTGGAATCTGTCACAACGGAACGAGTGGGCGTTCTCTTGCGGACTCCCACAGACCCAAGTCAATTTTTGAATTTTTTAGGTTTAGGGTGTGCTACGAGGTCGTACCTTTGATACAACATCCAGTGCTGGGACCTCCACAGCAAGCCATTTCCACAGCGCTGCACACCAAATCCAGGATGCCCTCAGAAACCGGCAAAGACTGCCACTCACGTTTCACTACTGCCTAGTACTGAATCCTACCTGACTTCTTGACACGACTCAAACTTGCCAAAGTCACTAAATCAACGTCAACTACAATAATCAAGCCACATATCTGCAACGTCACGAGGGTGCTGGCAAAAGTCCTGCTGCACGGCGGCGGGCAAAGCCCGCCGCCGTGCAGCCCAATACGTGTTTTTTTAACGTGATTTTTTGGACTTTTTTGGACTTGGGGCAAAATTCTGCACACTTTCGCGTGTTTCCATAATACGACAAGTTGCGCACGGTCTGCTCACATTCAAATACAGTGCTGCCAACAAATGACAGCATGCAACAAAAAAATCTTTCCTTGCAAGGGCACATTTTCGGCCATAACTCTTGAACGGCTGGTCAGATAGGGACACAATTTTCAGAGAATTTGCAGCTATTCGTGCTCTTTCAACTGACGTAGCACTCAATATGAATTTACAAATTCGATTTTTCAGCGAATTTTTGGGTAGTCTGCCACCTTAAGGGGGCACATCACCCAAAAATTTCATATGGCATTCAATTGACCGTAACTTTGGTGTTTCTCAGTGGATTTGAGTGAAATTTTGACCACACACTCCTGCCACTATGCTGGCCCTCAGGACATGATTTACAAGTTCTTGCGCCTCACTGACAGGCTTTCCAGGCCGGAAAAACTCAAATTTCCGGCATAGTGCCACGGTGTGCGAGCCACCCAGGAGCCAAACAAATGCATTTACATTTTTTTCACATTTTCGTGCCCATTCTGTCCGTGCGCGGGATCCAAACCTAAAACAAGTCCAGAAGCAGCCATGGGTGGTGGGGTAGGGCCCCTCAACGTGGCCCTGGAATCTGTCACAACGGAACGAGTGGGCGTTCTCTCGCGGACTCCCACAGGCCCAAGTCAATTTTTGAATTTTTTTAGGTTTAGCACATGCTACGAGGTCGTACCTGTGATACAACATCCAGTGCTGGGACCTCCACAGCAAGCCATTTCCACAGCGCTGCACACCAAATCCAGGATGCCCTCAGAAACCGGCAAAGACTGCCACTCACGTTTCACTACTGCCTAGTACTGAATCCTACCTGACTTCTTGACACGACTCAAACTTGCCAAAGTCACTAAATCAACGTCAACTACAATAATCAAGCCACATATCTGCAACGTCACGAGGGTGCTGGCAAAAGTCCTGCAGCCGAATACGTGGTTTTTTAACGTGATTTTTTGGGCTTTTTTGGACTTGGGGGCAAATTTCTGCACACTTTCGCGTGTTTCCATAATACGACAAGTTGCGCACGGTCTGCTCACATTCAAATACAGTGCTGCCAACAAATGACAGCGTGCAACAAAAAAATCTTTCCTTGCAAGGGCACATTTTTCGGCCATAACTCTTGAACGGCTGGTCAGATAGGGACACCATTTTCAGAGAATTTGCAGCTATTCATGCTCTTTCAACTGACGTAGCACTCAATATGAATTTACAAATTCGATTTTTCAGCGAATTTTTGGGAAGTCTGCCACCTTTAATGTTTTGGAAGCCATCTGTCAGCGTCTGTAAAGCCTAATTTGTGTGTACAGAAAGATAGTATAATTGGGTTGAAAGTGTTCAAGTAAAGTGTCATGTTTGGTGCGGCCAAGCCTGGCCGTTAATGTTCTAGGTGTAATGTATTGCTGTTATTTGTTATCACTTTGTCCTTCCTTCTTTCTTTCTCTTCTTTGTTCACTTTTCAGTTGCAAGTTTAGTGTTAGTACACACATTCGTTATTGCTCTCGCTTTCATTGTTAAAATTCACACTTGTAAATTTCACTGCTGTTGTTCTTTAGTGTTATTTCTCTAACTTAGATTTTCTATAAGGCCACCTAGAATTAATTCGTTGTTTCGGGTCACTTCACTCATCCGTACCAGGGTCGGTCGGTCGGGTTTATTTTTTATTTAATTTTTTATTTTAGTTGCGGGCATGTGCATACATGTACGTGCATATCGAATAGCTTTTCTCCATCAAGCCAGTCCGAGTCGATCAAATCTGACTGTAGTCGATCCAGCGTAGCCATTGTCCCATCAGATTCAGGCCCCCTCCAGGACCAGATCTTGGCCTCGCTGGCAGACGAGTCTGACGAGCAGCTTGAAAACGTCTGTCAATGAGCGACGCAGTGGCGGAGCTGATGCAGTTTCAGGACCAATTGCGAATCGGAGATAGAAGACAACGTCGTCACCAAGTGCTGCATCCTGTTGGTTGCTTCTGAGGTCGATGTCTGGACTGCTATTATATTTTTGGGTCGCGTGTGTACATAGTCTACCTTATACTAGTCATGCACATTTGCATGTACTAACAAAAAATTGCGGTCGAGTGAAAAAAGACGGTCGGTCGGGTGACCCGAAACAACGAATTAGTTCTGGGTGGCCTAAAAGTTCAATTTTGTTTTCAGTGTCTTAAGTACAACGAAGATTCCTGATGAGTGTTGTACGAAAACTTGTTTGAATCCCTTTTTTTCTCTACACAATTTCTTCACATTTTCATCGTTTTATTGCACATTGTCTCCACAGTTTTACAATACATGAATACAGTGTACACAAATGTCGATCCAGCTGGTATTATTTTTTTTATTTTTTTATGGATTTCCCAAAGGCCGAGGGCTAAGTCGAGGGGTCTCCGTTCATGGCTTCCTGGGAAAATATCTGCAAAATTATAACATAATTATAGATTGAGAAAATATCGAAAAGCCGAAGAGAAGAGTCTCGTTGTGCCTCAGGCTCTGAAGATAGCATCACTAGGCTACTAGCAATCCTGACGTAGACGCTGATCATTTGCGGATAAATTTGGACGAGGCTGAAAGAGCAGCTACAAGCAGAAAGAGATGCATGTTGTTCCGACGAACTGCCTTTGCGGAGTCCAGCCGAACTGGCTCGAAATTATGAGTCGAAAGGAACTAGATTTACTCAGGGATTCAGCACCAAGTCGTTATGAGCATTCCGCAGCAGCGCGTGTCCCAGTTTTCGGATGAAACACGTACTTCGAAGTACAGATAGATGTGGAGGTGGAGAGTTGTACTCCCAAGACAGCAGTGACTGAGTCAAGTGCTATCAACAAAGAAGTGTATTGCCACCCAGTTGTCTATGCAACATCACAAGGAGAGGAAGACTATAAAAGCAAAGGAAGTAGAGCAGCAAAATAATCAGGCCACATTTTTTCACGCTCATCGCAAATAGAATGGATGTGCATCCAAGATCAGCCTAATACCTGCTGTTTCAGATGAAAGATTATTCATAGAGTCAATGCAGTAGCACTTTCCTGCAGGCAAGACTACCAGTTGCCATGATAAACCTCATCCCAATGATCCCTAGCATAGTTTATACCAGTCACTCCCTGGATAATGCCGGGACAATATGATTAACACTATTCAGCCATAGCCCTGCGTCAAAGCTGCAATGGAGTAAAGCCACTGGAGAATTATGTCTTATAGTGCTACAAGGTGGTGGAGCTTGTGGACAATAATGCGCCGGATTCAGCGTCAGAGTCAATATGTGCAGCCTTTCTTCCTTTATGACCCAAACCAAGAGCATTATAGCCCTTGCTGAAGCATTATAATCAGCATTATGGGGTAGTTTTTGGAGCATTATGATAAGCAATACACGAACATGTCCGGAGCATTATCCGCTGGACCCTATCTGCTAGTATTCCACTAAACCCACTTTACCCTCTCAAAGTCTGCGTTACCAATAACAACAAGCATTGCTACATGTATATGTAGGTAGATTTATTCTGTGCATGTACTTGTGTGTAAATGCGTGTGTGTATGGGCCCATGGTGCACATATGTGTGCATGTACTTGTGTGTAAATGCGTGTGTGTATGGGCCATGGTGCACATATGTGTGCATGTACTTGTGTGTAAATGCGTGTGTGTATGGGCCCATGGTGCACATATGTGTGCATGTACTTGTGTGTAAATGCGTGTGTGTATGGGCCCATGGTGCACATATGTGTGCATGTACTTGTGTGTAAATGCGTGTGTGGAAAGGAAGGATGGTGCACATATGTGTGCATGTACTTGTGTGTAAATGCGTGTGTGCATGGGCCCATGGTACACATATGTATGCATGTACGTGAACTCGTTTGTTTGAATATTGTGTTCACATGCTTGCATTGTGTTCTCCATAACAGTATTCTCTGAGCTATTCAAGCAAAACTAATAACAAAATGGGACCATGGAAAAAGTTTGCAGAAGCCCACGAAACTAACAGAGTGATTTTCGGGCAAGATCACCCCTTCCCCCCAATTGAACATACTTTTGCTTCGCACCCTGCATGCATGTGTACATTTGTGCTTTGCAATTTCCAAGTGCAAGCCCCTCCCTCCCCATCCCAGAACCAATTGTGTTCATTTTGTAGGCTTCTGGAATTCTGTGAAATTTTGCAATGGTCCCTAAGAAAGACAAAAACAGAACCAGTGACGTGTTTACACTCTCTGTTCATGTCACTAATATTCTTAATAGGATACATGTGTGTATCTATGTGTCGGCTGATGTTCAATTAACCAGGCAACACCGAAACTGTTACCCAGGCAACACCGAAACTGTTACCCAGGAAACGACGGAATTGTTACCCAGGCAACATGAAGACATCATCTGCTACTAGTCTCTTGCTTTTCTCTCTGTGTCTACTGGGAAGTGTGATATGCATTGCCGGTGTTGGTAAGCTACATGTGTTATTATGTTAATTTTATTTCAAAATTCTGAGGGACGCCTCACTCCGCTCGGAAAGTGATTAGATTATGCTCTAGCAGATGCTCGCAGGATGCTCGAGAAAACAGCCAATTATGCTATTACCGTAGTTTTTGGAGTATAGTGCGCACCTTTGTATAACGCGCACCCCAATCTTCATTGGGGGTGCGCACTTCAATATTCATTGATGTACATGCATTTCATATTCGGAGCATAGTGCACACCTGCGATTTCGGGCCTAAAATAGCACATCTACAGTCCGTTTCAAAAAGATTTGCAATCCTGGCGATCGCCCGCGGAGTTTGGCGTCTTACCGTATGAGCACTCGAGCGCTGCCTGGAAAAACTCACTGTGAACTCGAAGAAATATTCCGCGCGAAAGCAGGAAAAATGACAACTCACTCACGTTGATACAGTCATGTACGTCTGTCGTCTGGTTAACAGCAAACGAGTTCTTCCTCGTATCGATAATGGAGTCGGAGAGGACATGTCGAAACGAAAGTGTTGTAAATGTTGACGAGCGGCATGGGTCCCAATTCGTTTTGTGACCAAAATAGTTTCTTTGAGCTGCGATGCAATTTACTCACCATGTGACGAAAACGACATCGACACGGACTCATTCCCAAGGCCATGACTTGGCAAAGCTATCCGTGTGACTTCGACGACATTTTGAGAAAAGCAGACGCTTGTGAACGCTGATAGAAGACGGCATTGACTGCTAAATTCAAATAAATTGGCGATCTTGAAATACTAGAATAAAATCTCAAAAAGCTACAGCGCGATGACTTCCATATTCACTCACACCATTGCAGTGTCGTGGGTGTGTTCACATGGCGTGAGCCAGTCAAGTGTCAGTCAGTTCGGCAGGAAGCGCGAGCTCCAACAACAACAACAAGTCGTTTGGTGCAGCCATCTTCTTTGTCTTGTACCAGCTTGATCACCAAAACAATGAAGAAAAAAGTTTGACTTGAGGATAGGTTGGGATTTGAACTCACAACTTCATGGTCAGCAGACAGCATTCATAACCACAAGGCCAAAAAGGAATTGATAAATCGTGGGTTTTGATAAAAAATCGATACTGGCTTCCTGGGCAAATTGTAAACCATGGGAAAAGGCCGGAAACCGGGCCGAAATTCTAACTCCTTAACGGCTGGTCAAATTGTTCCGAAACCTTCACAGAACAATTTGCCGTGTCCTAACAAGCCATTCTATGTACTTTGTTGTCCACATTTCCCTTATCTTCATACTTTTTAAGACCCAAACCTGATTGTAAATCTTTTTGAAACAGACTATAAAGTGCGCACTATACTCCGGAAAATACGGTATATGCTTCACCAAAACGACCAAAAGAACAGATAATCGTCATGAAAAAAGGACTCAGACCACTGTCATGATGTGGACTGGGAGCTTTGTGGAAGTACAAGACAATTATATGCAAGAGGAATGCCAAAATTCAAAAGCAAACGCACTTTTGGGACATGTCCTATAGTGGCTTTATGCTCCTTCTCAAAAGGGACCTGATTATGCCAAAATTTATGACTTCAATTATGCCTTGAATAAAAGGTGTGTATAACAGCCTCAGTGGGCATCTGCCCTTGTTTTCCGAATGCTATTTTATGCTCTTTTCAAAAAGGAGCTGATTATGCCAAAAATTATGCCGGCATAATCCGTTTACCCCTACTCAGCTTCGTTTGATTTATTCATAGGTGACTGGAAATTCACTGCAGTATGCAGTGATGCCTGCGATGGAAGAATAGGGCGGTCGATATGTGGAGCAGACAATCAGTGGCTCCGAGAGAAGGGAGCTCAAGCAATTGGACTCTTCAGTGGGGCTAATGAAGTTTGCACGTAGCTGGATTTTCCTAGCAAGGACAGCTATGCTGCCATGACTGCACTGCTAGCAGGAAGTTTGTGGCCAGTACCGCGGGAAGCATGTCTACCTGGTGATGAAGAATGGGGATAACGGACTGTCACGGATGCATTATTAATTTTTATTATATATATATAAACAGTTTCCTCTGAGACAAAAATGCGATAATACTCATAAAAAGGACACACTTCAGGCTCATTACAAACATCTTGAAACTTTCAAGATGTTTGTAATGAGCCTGAAGTGTGTCCTTTTTATGAGTATTATTATATTATATTTGAGGATTTCCCAAAGACTTAGTCTAAATTGAAGGGAGTTCCATTATAATGGGAGGCTGTAGGGTTGAGATAGCAGACAGTGGATGGCTAATGAACAGCCTAGCTAGAAAAATACATTATTCCGGTGAATGTTCCAGAATGGTCCTTTACTCAATAATACCTATAGCCTCGGGTATGCGTTGAAATACTTTGAAGGACGAAATATACCGAAACAGAAACACAAAATAAGAATATGTGCAGGGCTCAAAGGAGGAGGACAGAGGCATGTCAGTGAGGAGTGGCATCGTGTTTGGTGTCAGAGAAGTGCGTGCAAATGTGACTGTGAAACAGGGACTGCGAGACTGTGGCTCTCACTCTGCGGGCAAGGCATCCCAGACAGTAGCTATGCGGAAGAGAAATGACCTCCTGGCGTGTTTCCCAACCCGTGGCAGAGTGAATGCAACTTGGCGGCGGCGACTACGAGTAGGGCAGTATCCTGCTGCTTCAAAATGTTCTGGTTGGGTGAGGACTAGATGGAAGAATTCCATAAGGCAGGCGATCTTCCTACGCCAGGATAGACTTGGCCACCCCAGCTGTTTAATTTAAACAATGATGACTGGGGCTCGTCTGATGGGCAAGGGCATCTCTCAAGCCGCATGACTGTGCGAGCTACTCTGGCTTGCAGCCAATCAAGGGTGAGCCGCTGTGCAGCAGAGAGGGTGGACTCCCATACTGGGGCGGCGTATTCTGCTGTGAGGCGGACATAAGTAAGGTACAGCTTCCTAATGATGTCTCCTGTTAAATGGTCAGCCATATGGCACACAAGAGCACAGCGCTTTCTAAACTTGCTTATTGTCTGTTCAATATGCTCCTGGAATCTAAGTGTTTCACTCAACAACACTCCCAGGTGACGGTGACTGGTTGACCGATGGATACCACGGATGGTCTCTGCAGCTCCTTCCTCAGCAAATGAGATAACAACGGTTTTCGATGGGTTGAAGGTTCCGCCTACTCGGTCAGCTCAGGCAAATGTGGCCTGCAGGGCAGTCTCCATTGGGCTGGTACCTTTGGTTCGTGCTTTGCCGACGGCAGGATCATCCGCGAACAGGTAAACATCACCCTGCTGGTTGCGTTTCGAGGCACTGGGTAGGCTGTTGATGTGTACCAGGAAAAGCAATGGCCCGAGGTGGGAACCCTGGGGTACTCCAGACTTGACGGAACGTGGGGAGGACAAATGGCATAATGATGTCTGGTACCAAAGTTTGTGCAAAGATGCTGAGTTCATGTAGCAGTACCGTGTTGGTTATGGAGCGACAGTTTATTGATAGAAGGGAGTAGTGGGGGATGTGGTTGCATGGCGAAGTAGTGTTAGGCCCCTTGCACACTGCGTAGAGAACCGCTTGTTATGAAAGACTTTTAAGTTGTCATGTCAACTGACGTCATTTGGCGGAAAAAGTAAAAAATACATGTATCGAAAACGTATTCAGCAGACCGCGGACGGGTATCTCTTTGTCAGTCAAATCCTCTTTAAAGGATTTCCCAAATTTTGGGAAAGGGTAGATCACACCTTCCAAAGTAAAATTCTTTCTTCAAAACCTGTTTGAGTGTGCATTCTGTGTTTATCACAGATGATGTCTGCGAAGTTTCACCAGCACAAGGGCTTTACTTTTTCTGTAACAGGCCCTCTTGTGCAAAGGTGTCCGGAATTTTCAAAATCCTATAAGGAGTTGGCCTCTTCAAAATTTGGTTTTGTACTTCCTAGTTTCCCCCGCAAATAAAAACCCTAGTTGGTAATATCCAAGCCTAGACGTGGCCCATATGGAGTTAACAAAACAATTCTATGCACCTCCTAGGCTAGTACCCCAAGAGTATTCCACTATTAGTATGTGTACATATTTTAACACAACTGATTTAGTAGATGCCCCATACATGTAGTGTCTCTAGTTCATATTGATCTGCGAGCACTTTGCAACACGACTTCAATGCTACGATGGTGCTAATATTCATCTATTCCACTCCCAGTCTATTTATACGACTTGTAATTGCCATTCGCCAGCAATAATTGCACACACAGACCTTTCCTGCGGTTCTTAGCCATTGAGTGACCTCTATTCGTTCATGTTAAAGAAGGAGATGCATTGTACAAGTAGGAAAGATCCGAAATGCATCTTCAATATCATTGCTTCCACTTCGACCTTTTTCGAGGCTGCAAATGCGTCTTGAAGTTTAATCCTATATCTAGGATTAACTGGTGACGGACAAAGAGATACAAGGTTGCTTTTTAGCTTTTAGCCAGTCCTGCTCTTTCGGATACACATGTAGCAACTTCTTTCTGTGTTTTCATACCTTTTGCTGTTTTGGCGGTGTGTGGATGTCTGTCGGCGTCCTGTTTCCTGCTTCAGCTTTCCATGGGAATTTTTGGGTGCAAACTCTTTTTGTTCAGGCCGTAGAAGACTGTACTGTAGTTCTTCTTTGCTTAGTGTGACACGATGTCAAGCAATCCACAGCTTTTTTTCACAGTACCGTTCTGCAACAGCATGGCGAACATTATCTGTAACTTTAAACTTGATCATCTGTGATCGATCGCCTTGAAAATTTCAAATGTCAAGGACAGGGAAATAGACCGCCATTTAACGATATTAGTAGCTTCTGGAGGTTCTGCAACATCAGTGATCATGGCGGCAACAATTCTACGTTGCCTCCATCTCCTTGCCGGAGTCAACCTGAGGTTCATGAGTATGGGTACAACATGAACGACACTTAACGAAGTAAAAGACAACAAACAGAAAGCATCTCGTTTTTGTATCGAATCTTTTGAATTTTCAGTCGTTTTCTTCAGTCAATGAACACGTAAAAAGCACATCCTTTGTCAGAGTGCCACTGCACATGAACAGGTTTACGCATAGGCTGCGCATGCGCAAGTTGGTTGCATTTTACATGTACGTAGTGTGCAAGGGGCCTAAACATCCGAAATTTATTTTCATGGTTCTCGTGAGACTGGGCTGGAAGTCGAGTTTCCCGCATTCGTAGGAATGCCACCACCCTCAATGGATCAAGGCGCAGATGCAGCTCCTAAGCGGTGGGAGGTGAATAGATCAGACCCACCACAAAGTGGACAAAGACTGAAATCCCATAAACTGCATCCATGGGGGAGGCGGGGGTACGGTTTGGTTGAGTAGCACCATGTACAGAGGGTGGAAGAATGGCGGGGCAATATGTTGTGTGTGTATTTGTGTGTGTACATGTGTGTGTATGCGGGGTTGAAAAGACACTAATGTGTCTGCACGAAGCGAAATGCAGTGTCAGAAAGGGCCTTGTTCACACTCTGGTATCAATGGCGGAGGAATTTTGGACTGCCTCTCTGTCTTTCTCAGTCTCTCTAATTCTCTCTCACATTTTCTCCCTCTCAATTTCTCTATCTGTCAATCGCTCTTCATCTCAGTGTATGTATGCGTGCACCTTCCCGTTCAGATGTCAATAGGCACATTGCTACCCCTACCTTCGTGGAAAGTGGGACCGTGTTGTCAACATTTACACTGGAAAAGGCCCACATGGCAACACCATTCGTAGCACCGGGTTATGCTATACAACAGACAGGCCATCCAAACATGGTTGACTTTGTTACGACTAAGGATGTTGCTGTGAACAGCAAGATAACCATTATAGCAGTGGTAGAGGATGCAGAGCGCACTAGCTACACCTTTCGACTCGACTTGATTTCCCGAGCTGCACCTATTGTGACACAAGAGAGATTGTCCGTAACCCTGTCTCAGCTTTTCCTTGATGGGATTTCCATCAGCACAAATCTATCCAAGCCGGCAACACTCATTCGTAACGTGAGTGTGTTGCTTAGCAACCCAGCACTTCAAAATGTAACAGTAACAGCCATGGGAAAGGATGTCAAGATGAAGTGGGAGCTACCAAGTGCTGACCTACAACTGGACAATCCGTTCACTGTCAACGTAATTGTTGAGGATAATGCTGAAGGACTAAGGTTTCCTGATAGCACTGGCATGTATAACATCACTGCCCTTCGTAATGGAGTGTCCTCATCAAATGTCACCGTCTTTGTGGAAGGTGAGTTCAGAACAACAGGGGCAATTCTTAGAACACGGAAGAATGGCTCATGGTCTATGCAACTTGTGATGGCAGCTTTGATCCAATGATAACTAGACAGCGATGCCTTATGTACAAATCAAAAGATCAGCCCTGCACCAAGTTTAACTGACACACCATGCTCAGGAGAAATAACCCACATTATTGAGTGTAACAGTTATCCGTGTTTAGAGGAAGAGGATCATCCTCTCCACTTCAACATCATGATACTGACATAGGTACAACACGAAACAACTAAAAAAATTGAAAAGAAAAAGGACCAAGGAACTGCAAGTTACGCTATAATGTCCAACTGGTGGTGTTAGTGGACTTTATGGCGTAATGTGTAGTTCCTTGGTCCTTTTTCGTTCCTATAAATTAATCCTTGGCTCTCCATCTGAGTCAACTAAAAAATACACAAGAAAACTGTACGCCCGCCGCCGCGCTGACTGTGGCCTGAGAATTTTCTTTTCCCATCAAAATGTACGAGGAGCACTTAGAAATCAGCTACAGACGTACCTTTACTCCTTTTTCAAAACACGAAAGTCGTCTCTCCACTTTCAAACCGGGAACAAAACATACTAGTGGTCCCTTTCAGCTGCTCCACGAGCGCAGGCAATGTTCACCAAGGGCCACAGAGCATCATCCATTCCGGCCAAACAGCTAAAATACAAGTAAACCTGCATGCCTGAGTACATGAGCACATGAGTGGAGTCATGCAGTAAATAGTCAATTTCAGTGTTTCTGCTCCGAACAGCAACTAACTTTGACTAGCTACAAAGTTTACATCAAAGGATCAAACAAGAACCATTTTCTTCAGTTTTTTCGGAAGAAAGCTTTTCCTTGTGCTTGGCCTAGGTCCATAATCACACCTCGGAGTGGTACAAGAATTACAACTCCCAGATATGCTCGATTGCTGGCCATGTCAATCTGTCTCTCTCTGTCTCTCTCTCTGCCTTTCTGTCTGTCTCTCTCTCTCCCTTCCTCTTTCTCTCTTTCTCTTTCTTTCTCTCTCTCTCTCTCTCTCTCCCTCTGTCTCTGACTCTCTCTCTCTCTGTCTCTCTCCCTCTTTCTTTTTTTTCTCTCTCTCTCTCTTTCTCTCTCTCCGTACAAACCGAAAATTCAAATGAGCTTGACTTCATCTCGTTTTGCAAGGCGGGAGAGAAGCCAGTTGGCGTTCAGCCCAGACGGAAGTTGGTTACGACTGATCTCCTGTCAGCGGCCTCAGACTGGAAACTTCTTGTCGACTCAGTTAGTGCAAAGATTTCTTTCCCTAGCTGTGTTGCACTTACCACCCTAATACCAGATATAGTTCTGTACTCTACGAGTCGTAGGATTGTATTCTGGATGGAGTTGACAGTTTGTGCTGAGGACAGATTCAGTGTCAGTAACTCGCGGAAGGACAGGCGGTATGCGGATCTGGCCGATCAATGCCGAGCAAACGGGTGGCAGGTCGTTTCTTTTTCGGTTGAGGTAGGTGTGCGTGGTTTCATCCCGGACTCTCTTCGGAGGGCTCTGAAAGCGCTTGGGTTTTCTAATCGAAGAATAAAATTTATTTGTAATTTGTGCAGTAAGACGTCTCTGCAAAGCAGCTACATCATCTGGTTGCGACGTCAACAAAAACACTGGTCGGAAGATCCACTTTTCTGAGGTACTGTATGTGGGGCTCCGTTTATTGAGGTGCGTTGAAATTTATTCTCTTTATCTTATTATTTCTTTTCTATAATTTCCCCATATGAGTTCCTATCAGTTGCTGTGAACACCTTGAGTGGAGAGCGCTTGCTCGAGCGTTGAACCGGGTTCTTAATCCACCATACCCAGTTCGCAAGGCTGGGCGGGGTTGTGAGCAGGCTTTCATTTCATCTTTTCTTATTATTTCTTATTATTTCTGCTTTTTATCTCATTAAAAAAATTCTGCGCATTTTTTTCTCCATCTGCGCATAAAATCTAGACTGACAACCTGCTTGTTAAAATTTTTTCTGATGACAGTAGGTGAGGTCAGGTTGAGTTTTTAGAGCTCCGTAGTCTTTGTAGATTTCCAGTAGCCCAGCCGGCATCAGGCCGGTCTGGAGCATAGTAGCGGGTAGTTGTAGTGGTAGGCATGGACTCTGACGCGTCGGAGGCCCAGGGGACCCAGGACTTAGCTTTGCTGGGATTCGACGACCTGCGGAAACTGGCTACAAAACACAGCATAAAGGGCGTGAGTAAGCTGTCCCGTGCTGAGCTGGTGGAGAGCCTCCGGGCATTTGGTGTGGATGCACGAGCCGGAACGTATGTATCCAGGCTAGGAAATGCATTATTATCTTTGACGACCTGTATTGAAAACCTGAGCATTGAAATAGTGGCACTGAAGGTTGGCCAAAAGCCGAAATTTCAGCCCTCCACGCCGAAATTGAAGTTCTGAAGAGAGAAATTGGCAGTTCGGAATTCAAAAAGGTTACACCCGCACCTAACGCACCCGTACTTAGCGTACCCGTAGCAGAAGTCTCTCCTGAGCTGGATGGAGCAGCACAGGCACGGTATACGCACTCTGGAGTCAACCCGTACTCGTACAGTGCAAAAGTAGTATCTGCACGTCCCAAAGCTCACTTCCCATCGCATTCTCCCATGACACAGTCAGCTACCTCCAATACGGGGACACATACTGATCAAGCCCTCCGGACAAACGTCATTTCATACTACCAGCGCCCACCCCGCAAACATGAGCAACTGCGCAGTGCCCATCGTACCAAATGCAAAGCTGTTCATGTTGGAAGAATCCACCCTGGTTGCTCTGCTTCCTCCATCGCAAAATGGTGCGAAAACAAGCAAGTGACTGTACTGAAATGCTCCGTCTCTGAGACAAAGTACTTTGGCCTAGCGTACGCGCACGTAGTCGTCACAGAAGATGACTGGGAAGCTGTGCAAAACACTGACTTTTGGCCTGACGGAGTGACAGCCCGAGAATGGCGATTCAAGGCTGACAGAATAAGTACAGCTGACAACACAACCGTCGATCAGTCTGCACAATAATGAACCTCAACCCCCCGATACTTCCTCACTGTTCCCCAAACATTACTACTAACAGCACACTTAATCCATTAGCTCAGCCTTTTTACCCACTTTCGCAGCCAACCGCAGGATCACAGCCTATAATGTGCATCAATGCCAGGCCCATTAAGAACAAGACTGCCGAGCTGGCTCACATTTGTTCCACAGTTAAACCCCTCATTGTCTGCATAACGGAAACATGGCTCTCTCCACAGTCGTCTTTTACGGTCCCTGGATATGACTGTTTTCGCCGAGATCGTCCGCCAGATGAAAACAGGTCAGCTACCGAGGCCACCCATGCATATGGCGGCGTCTGTATCATGGTACGGTCTGGGATGTTTCCAAAGGTCACCCCTCGATCTGACCTCAGTATCCCTCTGCTGGAAGCCACATGGGTGGAAATAGCCCTGTCATCTGCTAACATACATTTCCCAGAGGCGCCTCATGTGAAGAAGTTGGTTATTGGTGCAGTATATCGACCCCCAGCCCTTACTCCATCAAGTATTAACACCTTCTGCAATTCCCTCCAGCACTGTCTAAGTACCCTTAAGAACCGAACAAC